CTTTCAGCCAAAAAAGACCCAAGACTCGCTGGAGTCATCCCTGCACAGACTTCTCCCTCTGCAACCTGGGATACAACGGATGATGATGGATAGATGGATGTATTAAACTTCTTGTGCAATAAAATGTGCTATTATTTTGTGTTTAAGAAAAGTTCAGCAAAACTATCCAAATAAGCATCACTCAATCTATTGAATATGTTCATTTTGTGTAGTGTAACGTGGTGTGAGAATGACTTCATCTCACTTTGACAGGATGATTAACTTCTTTCCTCACACCCGCATTGGAAGCAGACGTGTGTTTTTATTGGCGTATGACTCACGTTCACACTTTTTGAGCTGCAGATTTCACTTCAAAGTCCAGAGCAGGTCTTTTTAAGTTGACACGCGTTCCCCTATATAGCGTAGCCTTCCAACCATCTCCGAACAATTTCAGTTTTGAAAGTTTTCATCTGGACATTAGTGATGACATAGGATTTGGGTTGTGCTACTCCAGGTAAATTCAACTGGGATTTTGGAGAGAGAGAACGATTGTTTGATATCTTGGTATGGTATGAGAGGTATAGTACAATAGGCTGTGAGGTTTAGAAATCCAATCAGTATTATAAAGTGCATTAAAAAAACATGATTAATTTACCCTCTTGAAATTGGGCAGAAAAAATAAAATAAATTCTCCATTGAGCAAACTTACATCTGGATTGGTACAGTATATGGCATTATTTTCCAGTGTAAATGTTGCTGCTCATGATGACCTATAGAATATGGCATTTCCTGCTGTGACACGTGCCCCCCGGAAGCACATGTCTTTTACCATCTCATCCCGCTTTCCATGTGGGCTTTGCATTTACCTCCATCACGATACAGTCTAGGGGCTGTAGAATGTAAAGACTGGTCCAGAATTACACTATTAAGCACATTCCGGTAAAAGTAGCTTTGAAGAGTACTGCAAGCATGCTAATTGTTCTTGGCTTTAATGAGAGAGCAAAATGCACTGGGGTTTTGTAACAGGTGCTTATGAACTCGTTGCACTACAGTACTGTATATGCGGTGCACATAACTTGAAATGGTCAAAACAAGCTTCAATTATGATTATAATTATAATCAATACAAGCAGCATGTGCAAACGTTGATAGTAAGAGTCTCACCCACCCAAACACGGCTCGACGATTTGGAATGTAATTATGCAAAGTATTGTCCATCGTGTGACTTGTGTGTTGTTTTTTACCTTCTTCACCTGTCTCACCTGTAAGCAACACTGAACATGGCCCGGCAAAAAGAATAGGTTACAAGGTGGTGCTTTTCTTTTTTTTTTGATGAATACTTTTATTTAACCGAATTTTCCAATTCAGTGGGGAAAACAAAATCAATGTTTTAAAATAAACTGTTGGGTACCTCTTCTTTCAATATATCTAATACTTTTGTTGTACTTGTTATTGATCACAACACCAAGACATATTAGCAGTTGAAATTGGATCTGCAAATCCATATCAGCTACTATTAGCAGCAAGTCCTCTCCCATTTACAACCCTTTGTGGGCTGTCCCTTTGCTCCAACAGTCACAGTTCAAAGATGACAATGGCATGTTAAAAGATCTGACTTAATGATAGGGGCCGTCCCTTTGGCCTCACCCCTTCTACCCGCGTTATTCCCCACTGAACGCGGGGCCATTTAGAGACTGGCGGCCCGCACATAACCACCGCGGTGAACGCCCAGTGCATTGTGGGTCGCTCCGGTGCAGATGTGCCCGTGTGCCTTCCAAACAAAAGCCATTCCCCCGAGCCACATGGCCACCCCTTTGTTCCCCTCCAAACTCCCCAATAGACATCCCCCTCACAGACCTGGTGGTGTCCGCAGCAGGCGCATCGTCCAGGGCTGATCTTTGACCCCGGACCCGAGTGGTGTCCCGGGGTCTCCAAAGTAATGGGTGGGGGGTAGAGGTGACACACAGGGGGAATGGCCGACTGTACAGATCAAGTGTCATTGGATAAATAAAGGATGTGTACGTGTTTGTTACTGCACAGATTTACAAATATTTATGTGTGATAGTGCCAGATGTCTTTATGTGGGAGTTTTATGCCTATGCATGCCCAGTGACATAAACGTCCTTTGTTTATTTAATCTAAATACTCACAAGAAAATTTTGTTCAGTGGATGGAGTTGATAATACAGTTTTCTCACTTCTTTTGTGCCCTCTGCTATAAAACTGTTTAACTCGTATCGTGTCCTGCTGCTGCATGAACTGTGAGGCCAGACTCACTTTTTGTTTGTGTAGAGTCTATGTGTTTGTATCAGTGGGGGCGGGTCCCAGCTCAAAAGTGGCCAAAATGACGTGCGCTGGCATGCTTGCAATACCACCCCGGGCCGATGGGGGTGGCCCCTTAATAAGAATTAGCCAATGCTAACATATAGCATCTTCTTACCTCTCAAAAACACCTTTACAGGATGGTCCAAAAGTTGGCTTTTGGCCCAAAGCAACGTTCCACATGTGTGCCAATTTTTTTGGACCAGTCTAGTTTACTCGCTGTGAATTTTCGAAGTCACTTGTTTAAATGAATGGGGCTCGTGCCGGCTGACAAAAGCCTAATTTTTGGCCAATTAGTTAGAACGGGACTGGTGCTATGTGCACTGGGTGCAGCTCTGACTGCCACCCCCCCGACCCAGAAATGGATTAAGGGGAAGAAAATGGATGGATGGATGGATAGTTAGAACGGCGGAGGAAGGCGTGACTATGTCCGTTAATATATATACAGTCTATGGTTTGTGTACAGTCTGTTTGTATACAGTCTATGTGTTTGTGTAGAGTCTGAGTGTTTGTATACAGCCTGTGTTCTGCTCTGAGATTTTGCAGCTAATGAATTGCGCTTTGGGGTCAATAGTTTTCTGACTCTAAATATAGTGGAAATATTGTATAGTGGAGATTACAATTATGTGAAACTGCAAAGGATTCGGCAGCTGCCCTCAGGCATTTAGAAAAAGAAAAGAAAAGTAAATGCAAATTTGCCATTCACTACAGTGTTTCTTTTGTGTCAAAAATGACCATTATTATTGATATGGATTGTTTTATGAAGTGGTGAATGCAGAGGTAATGATAAGCTTTGGTGTGTGTGTAAAAGTGCTCTATGGATGTCTTTAATTATGTCTGGATGAGAATAGTATTGATGATGTCAAAGGCTTTGCGACAACTTGAAACTCTACTATTCCTGCTTTCAATGCATGGAAATAATCTTTTACTCAGAAACAAAAAATACATTCCTTTCACAGACCAGGATCACAAAGCGCTTCACAATTAAAAACATAATGAGATAAATAATACACATACAAGTCAATTCCAAAAACAATAAAACAGAAGAAGTATCATTAACACAGAGCACAGAGGCCGATGTAAGGTTTGGCGAGACCGGCCTAATTAGCCGCATCGTAAGCTTTCTATTTTCTCAAACACAGACTCTGCTATCTTTGTTTTACCATTTACAACCAGTATACAATTTCATTTTGCAAATAGCTTTCCCATAGTTGATTTCCTCGCTTTTGCTGATCTCTCTGTGACTCGCACGGTTTTCTAATTTTAGTCTATTGATCCCGGTGACGGCATCTCCACAACCGTCTGCGCCATCGACCCAAGATACAGTATGACGCGTTACTGCATCCTCATCACAAAAAGAAAACGAAATACAGTAGAAACACAGTGTTTAACATCCAGCATTCTCTCTGTTGGTGTACCACATGTTTAGAACTGATTAGCGGATGTTGATTGAGTCGTACTTGATAGGATTGCCCTTTTACAGACAAGAGACAACACGTTATTTCTGTTCTCCCTCTCACATCATCAGCTGGCAGATTGCGCTCATTATTGGTTGAGGGTTTGAAGGAGGTACTTGCAGCTGTTCGGCCTGGCAGCACGCCTCAGGTGAAGGAGCGGCCGGGCTGTTGACTCATTGACCCTTTTAACTCTGAGTAAACACATTTCATTTGTACGTCGCACATTAGCAACTAAGCGGCGTGTATCAAGAGTTGAATATGCCTTGGTCCAGCGGCACTTTCAGACAGGAATCAGAATAAACTGTAAATACGTTATTTTATGTATACATAATGCATAAATGTTGAATAACTGCTACCTATATAAGCTCTGAATACTGAATAAACAGGTTTTTAATACCACAAACTTATAACATCCTTGAATCTAAAACAGCAGTATTGTTTTGTTTTACATACTACTGCCCACTTTCAAAATATATGTTTAATAGCAGTTATGCCCTGGGTTCCTCCATGTTGGTGAAAACGCATTTTGTGTTTAGAATAGATAACAAATGCACATATATTGCTGCATACTACAGATTATAGCCTGTAAAATGATAGAACATGCAGGAAGATTTATGTAGTTTAGCATTTGCCCAAAACTAAAGATCCACTGAAAAGTAAAAAATAACTCATACATAAGATTTGGATGGATTCTTTATTAACAATTATGTGTTATGTATTATTTATAAATACCCTTTTTTCAGATAAACCAAAGTTGTACTCAATATAGTCATACTTATTATTGGGCAGATACCATATATTTTCCTTATATATATATGTTTTTGAAATTTTCAAATTAGTATCTCTTCAATACTAGTTTTAGCACTAGTTTGAACACTTCTTTACACTAGTATGGTGTATAGTTTTTTTTAATGTATTTTAAGTATGAAATCTATTTTTCAAAAGCAGCCCCTGAAGTTACAAAGTCCTGTGTAGATTAGTATGCAACTAGCTGAAAAGAGTCTAACCAGTGGAATATCATTGATTCCCACCAAAGGGCATCTTTGCCTCTGGGAAGCCCCGACTGCTTTGGCTCAGGTTGAATAATCTGCCAAACAACTTGCACTCTCTCCTCCTATTATCCGCCGTATTACTCTGGCACTCGACAAGAATTCATAATGATCCAGTTTGGAATCCCAACAAAAGCCCGATGACACTGCAATTTGTCGCGCAAACGCCTCCTCTCTTTCTTTCTGCTGTTGCTTTCATTCAGCCACTCGACAACACAGCCACCCATTCAGAGTCGCGAGGAGAGTCGGCTCGTTACCCCCGAGGAGAGCGTGATACTGGGGAGCTTCCACACCCAAACTCCAGGCAGCTGACATATAGGCAAGAGTAATTACGTACTGGTCGATCCACCAAGGAGTCCACCGCTGAGGCCACCTTGTTGGGGAAAGTGAAAAGCTGAGGAGTAGGAGTAGTAGTTGCAAAAGGCGGTGAGAACTGGCAGTGATGGAATAATAATGTTGGTGATGGAAAGGTGGCCGGCAGGGAAAAAAATCCTGTAAAATGGAATATGGAGGGTGTGAAGACTCAGTAGTCGTTACTTAATTGTTATATACATCTTACAGTTCAACTTTTGGTTGCAGAGATTGCGTGACACACAGATTAAGGAAATTGTTTACATATTGTCCACACCAGTTTGGGAATAAATGTGTAACGTGTAATTTTGCAATATTTCCATAACACCATTATATTTACTCCTGATAAAAAATGCGGTATTGCTTTCACTAATACGACTGTGACTACTGTAACAATTACTACAATTGCAATGCTAAACCAGTCTTCTTCACACATCCACGACTTGAATTGCAAAGGCCAAGGCTGAAATAGGAACATATACTAAAGCAAATAGTCATACTCTTCAAAACCACTGCAACTGAAATCAAGCCACCTCTGAATGAATCTAAGCAGATTTTGACGGCATTTTAAAAGCAATATGTTTGTTTCATGGCTTCTGTAATGGACACGTCTTACTTTTCACAACTAGTTACACTCCATCCCTTGATAGAATTTTGTGCAGTTGTTCAAAAGTATCATTTGTTATCAACTCGATTGTACTTGTCATGCGCTATCAGATACGTACCCTTATTACCAAAGGCGTCGCATGATGATGATGTATGGGCTCCGGGCTTCACTGGACATTGGATTGCGAAGGTGATCTGCTGACCCGTGTCGTGGCTGGACAGATGGAGGAACTCTGCTTGCCTCGGCCGCCGCTAACAGCAACGAGTCGTGTGTCATTGTCCCTGCATAAGCATTCATTTTGTCGATGAATTGGCATTTACAAATCAAGGTTATTTTTTTAACTGAATGTGGACTGAATGTGGAGTCGACCAACAAGGTTGGCTTGTAAAGAGCTTAATACACGCTGAATAGAACAATGAAAGCTGGGGTAACTCACTTCTTAATTTCAGAAATAATTCAGAATTGTATATTTCCACAAAAAGGGAATTGTAAAAGCTAAATTCTCATTATTCTCATTACAAAGCATGTTATCTTTTGTAAACTTGTATAAAAGAGCCACATGGGTCAATATATGACACATTGGGCTCATAGCTGATTGGCTGAACAATGGTGGTTATAACTGCGTCTCTTTTATATATGGATAAACATTTTGAGTGATAAGGTGACATCAAGAGAGTCTGTCTCATTTATAAATTCAGGTGCTAAACAACACTACGGTTTCAAGCTAAAATAGTGTGTGCAATTTTAATGGTTTAGATCTATAGGACATGTGCACGATAAATCAGTTTTCTCCAATACTAAGGAGAAAAGTCCACCCACCCACAGTCCAGACCCTTGATAAATCTACCCTATAAACAGCACTACAACTTCCATACACTATACACGATATGCAACAGAGCTATTCAGCGTTCTGTCCCTCTGAAGCTTCACCTCTCCCCGCACAAGACCCAATTTCCTTCCGATTACTGCCTTTTTCCTCTGCTCCATATTCATCAAAACAACCCCAAACAACTGGCGTCCCTAACTAACCACGGCCCTCGTTACGCTAAGGAGGCCAAGATGAAAGCGTCTGCAGCGAGCCACGGCCAGGAGCCATGCATCCCCTCTGCCAAGCCCCAAACACAGCCGACGTAAGGTCCAGAACAATTCGAAGCCAGCTAAAGCCATTAATTGTGATTTGTAGAATCTTTCTGTTCCTAGATAGACTTCCTGGATGACTACATGGAGCTGTTGGCTCGCGGCAAGGTCTGATTAGCCCTGAGGAAACGTGCACAGGATTGGGCCATGAGTTAAGCCTCAAAGAGCTTTGCATCAACCTGCTCCTACCTTCCCACGCTAGCCTCTATTTAGATCTCTGGGATGGCCTACTGATTGATAAATGGGAGTTGGTCCAGGCCAGAAGGTCCTGGGTTTGATTTCACCTCCCGACATCTCCTTTCTGTGTAGAGTTTACATCTCACCATGTCTGTAGGTTTCCTCTGGCTGCTCCGGTTTCCCCTATAACATGTATAAAAACAGGTATGAATGGATGGTGATGGTCGGAGGGTTTTCTTGAATACTGTTATTCTATATATTTTTTGTTTCTTGTTTTAGTAGTAGTGGTAATTGTTTCCTCAACCAACTGGATTCTAAAGTGCTACGGTTGTGAAAGGTTTGACTTTCTGTAGTTTGAGTAAACCAGTTTGTCTACTACAAAAACAATACAACTACCATAGTCTAAACTACTACTTTGACAAACATATTTTGTCTTATCACAAGAACTTTCAGTTTACTTGTCCTCCATTTCACTTCTTTTTGCATTTTTGATGCTCCTGCTTCTAGATTTCAAACAACTAAGAATTGTGTAGTTCTCTTTATTTCTATTCCTGTTTGTTTGTAATAATGTTAATACTTCCACAACTAACTTTGTTTGTATTTTGGTTCTCATGACTAATACTTACTAATTTTAATTATATTCTATTTTTTACAATCATTCTCACATTGCATCTGGATGCCTTGATTTCTGATGCATTGAAAATACAGACTACTACTCTGCATCCTTTCCATGCTTAATTAATCATATCAAACCGACTCCTCCTTATGTGTAACGGAGTCAAAAGTTTTGCCCGGAGACGTATGACAGCGAGTGCTCACAAAGGCTCCCGATTGGCCGCGTTATTCCTGAACACCAAACTACTCAATGAACTGTGGATGAACCGGAGGCAACCAGGTCACTGCACTCTGCTGCAGACGCATTTAAATGTGATTCTCTCCGACATTATTTCTCACTTGGCTCCTCTCCAAATTCTTTGAAAACCAGAGCGTGTATATAATTTGTTGTGATATTTTATGTTTTGTCACAACAACAGGGATACGGCTTTGGTTGTCTCCTTTGAGGAAAGCCACTCACTTGCTTAGACACAGCTAAAGGGCTTTAAATCATGATGTAATGAAGTTGCAAGAGGATATAGTTTATTAACACTAGTGGACCTCCACTACTGGGTTATATCATACATTTCTAAGTTGGTTTGATAATTTAATCACCTATAGTCACACTCACCATGAATATTGAATGAACACATAATGTATTGAAAAGACGGTTTCCCTCTAATTTCCTTGTTTTTTACTATTTAATGTATTTCTGGAGTTTAAGTCAAATATTGCACAACAAGAATGGGTAAACCATGGCCACCACAATGCTGATGATGATTATTATTTGAGAACTAAAAGCAGTACGGGACACTTTTGCATTCCTTGCTTTTACATCAACATTCGGGCAAAGCAGTTAAAGAGAATCAAAAACTAATATTGGCTTCATGATTATGTCATGTTCATGATTATAGCTACCTTTTTTCCCTCAAAATTAACACATTTATTTTGTTACAACAGAAAGCGCAAAAAATCTGACAATAGGATTGTGTCTTCATTGTTTAGAAAACAGCGTACTTTTCACATACTTGTAAGAAAGATCCCTGTGAGTCACTATTTGATAATTTTGAGTTAATAACTTTTCTGTCTGAAAAAGTTGATCTAAAGATGTTCCATCCTCCAAAAATACTTGCATGGGAAAATTGTTTGGCGAATGTGACCCCAGAAAAGCGGAGTTGACCTTTACTTACTTTTTCCACATTTAAACACAATGACAATATTATTTACACTTGTGTTGCCAACCCTCCAGGAACTCCTTGCTCCTTCTGAGCAACCGACTTCAAGTGACAGACTGTAATATGAATATGAGATGGCAGATATGTGTGGAATAGTTTACCCCAGTGCGAGCAAACTCAGTGAAAACTTCCATAAATAACCTCACTTAGGGGCAGCCGTATCTGTATTATTCATCAGCGCAGGAGACACAGTTCCAGCAGGCTCTCTTCTTAATGAGGCCCCGAGGAGAAGGGACGGAGTGAAAACAGGATCTCATTCTGGTTATGAGAGCAAAGCACATACGCACACTGACCCTTTAATAAGTGATACGGGAAGATGCCACGAGGACTGCTGAAAGGGCAAATTCACGTTAAAAAGTCGCATTGGGTAAGAACGAAGACTGAGATTAGTGACGGGAAACGTGACTTCTACTATGGCGAGACGGCAGGGATTAATAGTTTAGTAGTATACAATAGCCCAAATATGTATATGTATTATTTATGTGTACATTATTTGATGGAAACATTTATTGTCAAATCCTCAGAGCCTGTGAGAGTGTGTGTATTTATTCTGCTAAATGTTCAACAAGTCAAGCTAGAATACTGCTTTGTTGCCTGTTGTTGCCGAAATAGTTTTGTATTGCTGTATTACTTTGTTTATGATCCACAACATGTCTTTATTTATGGTATTTATGGCGTACTTTAAAATGTATGCATGGTTCAGATCGTAGACGATGCATAATGTTAGTTAAGAAGGTCCTGGGTTGGAATCCAAGTCACAGACCGGGCCTTTCTGAGTGGAGTTAGCATGTTCTCCCTGTGTCTGCGTAGGTTTCCTGCAGGTGCTCCGGGTTCCCCTACTACTAAAAACATGTACAATAGCTCCCCACTCTCTGGGGCCAGTAACTCCCCTGAAGAGATTGTGAAGTGAGACTTTCTTGATTAGATCAAGGGATAGGTTTTGAAGTGAATTCCATATTCATTTAAGGAACGGTCTAGTCACTGTGGCCACAATCATATCTGGGTCTCCTCTGCATATACAGTATCTGTATATATTTGTACAATAATACTATATTGAATGGGTTAGTGAGAGCTGTCAGGGACTTCCACGCTGTAACTTTAACTGCACACTTGCTCCGACCTTGGTTTTATCGACTTGTAATTCCTAAACAGTGTAGATTCAATTACTGATAAAGAATCCTTATGGGAAGAGCACAGGGCTAAAGACAAACCATTCTGCTCCCATTAGAAGACCGTGTGGACATTGACTGACACTTCCATTACAAACTATCATTCACGGATCTCTTTTCGTCCCCATGGTTACGGCTGACAAAGTTGGATTGTGGCAGTAAAATAGACTGGATTTAGTCAATAATGTTTGTGAATGATGGCATGGCAGTCAGAATCCTTTTGTGTATCACAATGCAGTGCCAGCACAGTCCCCAATTTTAACAATATTATAAACTACTTTACTAGCGTTTTTGCATGTTCTAAGCCAGGTGTGTCCAAAGTAACCTTTTAGTAAGAGTGCCACTTCAGTGTGTTTGAGCTGATTTGGGCTTTAAAAATGGGTGTGATATGGATTCACACCACAGCTGCATTAACACAATATGTAAGTGTATGACACAATCAAACAGTTAACAGTTAACAACTGGATTTCACAAGTCAAGAGCTTTACAACGATGTATAAGAGGATCTTTGTTTACACCCGCGTCCGCATGCGCCCCTCGCTGTGTGGCAGAAAGACAGAGCGCCGCATACTGAAGCATGGATTTGAGAGTACTTTTAAAAGACTCAGTGGGCAAATAGCACTGAATATAAGCACTTTAACACAAGAAGATCAGAGGAGAAATAAAGACAAGCTAAAAATAAGTATATAAGATCGAACTGAACAAATTCAAAGCCCATATGAGACCTGGGATGACGAGAGAAAACATTGGTCAGACTCACCTCTGTCTTGGCACCCATCTACTGGTACTGGGAGACATGTGTTCTTACTTCATAGAAAACCCGGGACCTTTCACTCAAGAAGGGTCCGTGGTGTAAAACCATTTCGCTTTTTCACCGCGGTAAAGTGGCCGGGCATTTCGCCACACATTAAAAGTGGGCTGCCCCTGTTTGCTGTTACTTACGGTAAAGGTGAAACAGGAAGCCGAGGGGATGAGCAACCAAAATCCCCCCCGGCTTCCCTTTACTGTAGGTAAAAGCATAAAAGGGCAACCACTTTACCGCGGCCGTTTTTTTCTGTTCTTTTCCGAAATACTTAGAAAAAAATCTTAATTTGTCCCCAGCGGGCCGTACAACCGACTACACAACAAGAACGGGCCATTTGATTTAGTAGAACCTCTCTCCAAACATCTAAAACTAGCCAACTCTCTAGCATCCAGGTAGCTTTCAATGCTATAGTGACCGGCGTGGAAAAACTATAAACGACGTCACTCCAAGATCCTCCTATAGGCTCGACTATATTGTGGAGCTGAAGTAGGCTGGAGGACACACCATGACACTGTGGGTCTTGGTTTGGACCTGTCGTTGTAAAAGATTTATTGACCACAACAAGTTTATAAGAGCTATTCACAACTTCCAGACAGTAAGATGACCAATTGAGCCCATAATTGCAGTTCCAGTTTCTCTGAGAAGAATTTGTTTTACTGAGATGCAGGATGCAGATGCATGCAAAGGGCACAGGTCTGTTATTTCAGTTATTTGGCTGCTCTTTTATACTTGCTGTATTTCCATAAACGTTTTGATATAATCTAAGTGTAATTTGGGTCATGTGTCTTGCTAAGGAAAGAATTAATCTTGAATTGTTATGTACGTTGAATGCCATATAGTCTCATAGTTTATTATGTTTGGCATTTTATG